CTGGAGGCTCCTCTTATCTCAGGCAGCTGCTGGCTGCTGAGGCTGACAAACTCAAGGATAACAATTAAAATGGTGTCATCCCAAGATTATTAAGCAGCACGGCAAGCTCTAGTTCAAGTCCAGAAACAGTCCTAAGATTGACAGAAAACATAGCAGGCCACTCACTGATTACTCAGCCAAATGCAGGATCCGAAAGTGCCAAGAAGCTCAAGACCTTTCTCAAAGCATCTTGTATAGTAGAAGCAGACTGTATCCCTAAGGCAGCTGCTCACAGCAGATTCTACCATGAGGTTGATTACCAAACTCATCATGGGGAATAACTACATGCAGCTGTCCAGCCACTCAAAACCAGGCCCAGCCAAGTTGGCACATAACTTTAACTACCACACAGTGTTATAAGATATTTTAAAAATTTATATAAGGTGAACAATCATACCAGGAAGGTATGCACTCATTATAACAGTCATCTGTATGAGATTAAAAGGGCTGCATTTGCCCAGGGATAAAGCTAAGTAGCCAGGAAGGGATAGGAAAGAAGGACAAAGAGAAATGTTAAACACAGGGAAGAGTGCTGTTATATTGTGGGGATTGCAATAAATGTCACAAAACAAAATGTGTACAAACTTATGCACAGGGAGACAGCTCAGGGGGCATGAGTGCATGGAGGGATGGACACAGGGAAGAGGTAACAGGAGGAAGTAGGAGGTGAGCTGTTGCATTGGGGTAAATTGTAGTCAATGTCATGAGACAAAGTGTATGTCAACTGCTGTGTGGAAAGTGAATTTGCTCTGAAAACTTTCACCCAAATCACAATTTTTTAAAAAAGTTAAAAATATGTACAAACTGTTGTTGAATGGAAAACCAATTTGCTCTGTAAATTTTCACCCAAATCACAATTAAAAAAAAAAATGGGACTTAAGATGGATTAATTAACAAACAGTATTGGGAAATCACATGAAAAAATAATAGTTAATTCCTTTACCTCATAGAGTATACCAAAAAATTAACTTCTGTCAGTGAATGGAAATAATAATTGCTTTCTGTCACTACATTGTAAGCTTTAATCAAATAAACTCAATTTTGTTCCACTTCTGTTCTAATATCATCTGCACATGAAGCACTTCTTCTTCTGCCCCTAACCACCTGGAATTAGGTCAGAACTCACCAGTGAAACAACATAGGCTTCCAGACTGCAAAATCTGCCCAAGGTCTTAGATGCCATCTACAAGCTTGGGAGTCTCCACAATACCCTTACTTCTAACCTGCTGGCTACAAATTTCGGGGTTCTCTCTGTCCCCTCCAGATACCAGCCATTAACTCAGTGGTTTCTAGCCCCCCTCACTTCTGACCTGCTGACTCCCACTACTCCCTTGGATTCAATGATTTGCTAGAATAACTCACAGAACTCACAAAATGTGTGTTACTTATGATTACACTTTTATTATGATAAAAATAATACAAATGAAGAGAAGTATAAGGCAGGGCTTCCAACCAGTTTGGCCCAGTTCAATCATGGCTGAGAAAACAACACTAGAACAGACCAGAATTTTTAAAATTTGGGTGAACTGGAGTAATAATCAGAAAAATTATAGTGCAGCCCTGCTAGAAACTTAATCTCCCTTTGGGGGCAACTTACATCTTGTACAGCAGCCAAATCTCTTGCTTGCAGAATAGGAAACAATGGCACCTGGCTGAAAGATGGCAGCTGACCACACAGTTTTGAATGTATGCCCTCTACAGTTTCATCAATAATGCAATCATCCTCATCAGACTCCTTAAAGGCCTCCTTATGCCTCTTCCAAGTCTCCCATTCCAGGCTTTGAGCAGTAATTTTTTCCATCATTGTACCTGTTTATCCAAATTTTAAAAATTCAGGTCTCTTCCAGTTTACTTAGTTGGCCATAACTGAACTGGTTTGAACCAGTTTGAAGCCCCTAACATAGAGTGAGATCTGGGAGGGTTTCCAACACGGAGCTTCCATGTCCCCAAAAAGAGTTGTATTACCTTTCCAGTTGCATCAGTGTCTTTCACCAAACAGAAGTTTATGGAGCTTCTGTGTACAGTGCCTTTACTGGGGCTTCATTACATAGTCATGATTGTTTCCCTTCCTCTAATACCCCTTGGTGGTCTTTCTGGCCTGGCCAGTGCCTTCTCATTAGCATGAGCTCTCAGGTGTAAGCTGGAGCCCTTGAGATAAAACAAAAAAAAGTACCTCGGTTATTCAAGAAATTCTAAGGGTTTAGAATTATCTCTCAGAAACCAAGGACAAAGGCACCTTTGGGGCATCTGCTGCTTCTCAATAGAAACTGCTATCTTAATGCTCTAAGCCTGTTACACATTCAGTCTTATTTGCCCTAGAGGTAATGCCTGAACCCACCACTCAAGTCACCTATGGCAACCTGAACCATCTCATTAAAGTCATATTAAGTTGTGAGTGTATATGCTTTCGTGGTTTGCTTTCTCAGTGTGGTTCAGCTTTGGTCTTATAAAGTCCTGGAATTTTATATATATCCAAACCTACAGAGCTCTCCTTGTAATGATACTTGAATGATTACCAATAGAGTTTGAATTAAAATTTAAACGTTAAAGAGGAAACATAGAAGTATTAAAATGTAAAAATTTTTATATAATCTAGTGTTGCATAAGATATGCTTAAACATAAGTAAATGAAAGTTCTAAAGAAGAAATTTTTAAAATGGAGAAAAATGATAAATTTGACTACATAAAAATAATATGGTTAGTTATGGCAGACTGGTTGGAACCATATGTGACCCATTATAGGGAGCTCTGGTGGCATAGTGCCTAAGGCATTTGACTGCTAACCAGAAGGCTGGTGGTTCAAACCCACTGGCCACTCTTTGAAAGGAAGATTGGACCATCTGAGGTGTAGTGATACCACCTCAGAAACCCAAAGAGGGGTCGCTATGGGTCGCATCCAATTCGACGGCAGTGAGTTTGGTTTTGTTTTTGGTTAGCAACTACCAGTGTGACTTTAGCAAGTTATTAAACTAAGAATAGCCAATTACGTACCCTTTAGCCTGGACCTTCAGGGCTTCATAAGAAAAATGAAAGGACTAGAAGATTATTTTGAGATTCTTACTGCTCTAATATTAGAGAATTTTGATAGTTCCTCGATAATAAAAGTCAGGTTTTTGGACATCAGAGTGATCAGTTTGTCCACCTGAATATATATCCTTCCACATTTATCTACCTCAAGCCTGCTGCCACCACCCCTGTTTTCCTAGATGGAGACATGCCAGGTTGGTACAAGCCTAATGGAGTTTTCTTAAGAAACTAGACTTAGCCACCTGGTCCATTGTTACAGGCTTCCAACATTCATTTATCCATTCATTTAACAAATATTTACTGAAGGCCTGCTTTGTGCCAAGTACTAATCTTTAACTCTATAACTTTTTATCCATCTTCCCTTTCACTGACTTTGTTTGATAAACCAGGCAGACAACAATGTAGGAAGTGCATATTTAATCATTCTGGTAAATGGTCAGAATGCTAAGTCAAGTTATTTTTAAATAACAAAATGTAATACATTCATTGTGGGTCCAAAGTGCCAGGGAGGCCTGGTTGACATGAAAATTCTTGGAAGGGGACCGGGAAAAAACATTCTTCTTCTTTTTTTAATCAAAGCTTTGTCCATCAGGGCTTTGTTTCAAATGGCCGTTGTCCCTGCTTTCAGATGTCTCTGTGATTTTCAAGAAAGGAACCTCTTACTTAGTTGCCTTAATTTCAGTTTTGGCCAGCCAAGGTCCTGAGTGCTAAAGTCAAGGAAACAAAATGAAATGTGAACAGCTCTCTCACAGAGCTTGGTTTGTAGGGTAGAACGAAGGGAAAGGAATTTAGCTTAACCAGCCGAAGATAATCCCATCAGGAATTTTCCACAAGTATTGTCAACACTGTTCACTGCAAGATGTTATCTTAATTGCTCAACGTCAGAGTTCGGCCTCTCTGTGTTGAAACAGCAGCCAGAGAGATGCAAGCTAATGCACATTGTAAGAAAGCAAACAGATGTTTACATCCCTATTTTCTAGATCCTTTTCTGCTCTAAATCAGAGTTTTGAACCTTAATGGGATTGACACTGTGGTCTGATAATTCTTTGTTGTGGAGGAATATCCTGTGTGTTGTAGAATGTTGAGCAGCATCCCTGGGCTTTATCCACTAGATGCCAGTAGCACCCATCCTCCCAGCTGTGACAACCAAAATTGTCTCCAGACATTGCCAAATGTCCCCAGGGGCCAAATCACTCCCAGTTGAGTCCTACTGCTCTAGATGCTGAAAGCTGAGATTATAGCTGTCCATGCTGGATATAAAGTAGAAGCCTCTGAAACCTTGCAGTGATATAATGCCACAGACAGTAAAGATAAGAGAGGCCCTTCCCTGGGCCATTCAAGGATGAACATCATCTGAGAAATAAAATAGAATTTATTTTAAAAAGAAGGTGCTCAGATTATTTTTAAAATCAGTGTTACCCAACTACTACTACTACTTTTTTTCAATGTTAAAATTATGTTCGTTTTTCACATTTCATTGGCATTTGTAAAATGGAAAGAGAAGCCAAGGCACTTTTGGAAGCATCATCACAAAAAGTGAATCATTTGATCCATCACTAAAATGCAGCTACCTCTGAGTTGTGAAGTGGCAGCTGACTAGTAGCTGTTTAATTTGTGGGATATAAAGCATGTGTGTATTACAATGGAAACTGTCTAAGAACTTCCTCAGAGCAACATTACAGCACGTATAACTAAGGATTCAGAGAAAGGAAGATGCCGTATGCCATCCTCTCATTCCCCAGGTCATGATGGATGAAGGGAAATCCCTGAAATCATGGTGATACATTTGTTTACACATGTATTTTACATTTTAATCTTAACACACTTCTCTAGTTCAGGTGAATTATTTTCCCAAATTTTAATATATGTCTTTGAAGATTATCTTGTTCATATTGGAGTCTTCTGTGGTTTGCTTTTAGCTTCTTGCTTCTTGATCTAATTTGTTTACTCCAGACTGCTAGACATGAATTAATTTCTCCCGAGAAATACAAAATTAGGTCGCATCTTGTGGTGAAATAATTCTGAAGATTTCTAGAATTCTGAAAAATAACAGCAATAAAATACCATTACATCCATTCAACAAGCACTTACTGAGAATTGAGTCTCCCTGACACTGTGTGAGTGTATCTCTTGTTCAGAAATGGGGCTTGTTTTTGTGTATTTTGATCTTGTTCTATCAAAGCCACGTAGTCCCATGGATTGCTGGAGAGAAGAAATGCTTGGGTCTCCCCTTAATGGGAGAGCATCTTAGTGACAGTTTGAGAGAAGAGACAAGTCCTTAGAGAGCAAACAGGAATAAATGAATTCTGGGAAGAAACATGTGTCTGTGCCCCACGCTCCTGCATCTGGAAGTACAGAGGTCTAGATGGGCTTGAGGTTGCTCCTGAGTAGAAGTGGAAATGTAAGTTCTGCCTCAGTTTCCAACTAGGGAATGTGTGTGACATAAAATGTCATGATCAGCTATATGTCTCAAGTAATGAGTTTTTCCTTTACTTTCTCAAACCAATTCAATTCAAGGTTATCCCTATATGATTTCTAGGGAGAACGAGGTAGAGCTACAGCTACCTTGATAGCAATATATAACCTTGGGTGACAGTATATAACCTTGTGTATAATGCTGGTGACCACCATCCATTACATGTATGTGAGAGATTTAAAAAAAAAAAAATAAAGACCACATATTACTGCCTTAAAAGAGTATAAAATAAAGATGGGCAAGTTATACTTTAAGCCATATTATCTAGTTGCAAATTATTAAAAATTCACTTACAGTGTTGTGGGAATTAAGGAAAGAAGAAGTTTCTTCTTCTACTAGTAATTTTCCTAAGGGGCAGTTTCTTCACAGAAATCTAAGGGTTGACAACCATAGGGGATTGAGAGTGATGGGAAGTGCAGGTTTCCTTACAGAGAACCTGTTTCATACTATAGTAAGACTTTGAAGAACAGGAGAAAGAATGAAAAGGAGCAGATAAACAGCTTTTTCCCTGACCTTAACAATCTAGGCAAAGAATACACTTACAGACTGCAAATCAAAAAAACCAAATTCACTGCCGTTGAGTTGGATCTGACTCATAGCAACCCCTCCTTGGGTTTCCGAGACTGTATCACTACGGAAGTAGATTGCCCAACCTCCTTCTGAGGAGTGGCTGGTGGGTTTGAACTGCCAGCCCTCTGGTTAGCAGTCAAGTGCCTTAGGCACTATGCCACCAGAGCTTCTTAGAGAGTGCAAGATATCATAACTTTATATATGCACAGGGATGTGAAATCAAAGGACCATCCGGAAAGGGTGCTATGAGCTAGGAAGAACTTCCTTGACATGGATAAAGGAAGTGGTGGATATGAATTGCTATAGAGCAGAGGAAATGTCTAGGCAGAGGCTGTGAAAAATGAGGCAAGGCCAGAGTAGTAGGGAAAGAGAAGGGGAAGGGGAAAGAAAGCTCAAGGAGAGACACTTATAACAGTGTCACAAATACACAGCTGAGGACTTCAACTTTGGTGGAATAGTGCCAAGAGGACCACATTAGGTTTCAGAGGAAAGGAATGCTGTGATTAAAATAGTGTTTGAATCATTTTATTCTGGCACCTTGTTTCCTATCAAATGAAACAGAAAGAGGAAGGAACCCAGGTACAAGGTTCTGGAGTGGTCTGGGTGTGAGACAATGAAGGCTGGATTAGTATCAATCTGAGCAAGAGCACATGGCAAAATAAAGGGTTTGGGAACAAATTGGACGTGAAGGACAGAGTAGAGACAAAAATAGCTCTGACGTTGTGAACCTGGAGGCTTGGTGGTGATGCCACTGAGTAATGTGTGAGGTGTTGACTGAAACTTCATGAGCTCAGTGTTACACAAATTCTCTATGCAGAAGAATTTTCAGGAGGAAATGTCTTACCAATAATTGGAGCCTGAGGGCTGAAGTGAAAATGAGAAGCCTCGGCAGGAGGTCTAGTGTATGAGTCATTTGCCAAATTTCCTGTTAACAGGGGCCTTGTTAGGGTGGGTCACAAGTGCGTGATTAAGTGCACATTACAATGCTTCCTAAATTAACAGTGAAATCTGGGGTAACTAGTTAGGGCTGCACATCTCTTTTTGCTTAAATAAGATATTTTTGCTTTCATTGATGACTCAGTAAAGGAAAAGGTGTTTGAGTTTACATAAATATTTGAATTGTATAGAGTTGTTTTTCTTGTAAGTCTGTCAAAGAGGCCTGTGCTCTTTGTTAACAAATGATTATTCTTTACAGTACCAGTGGAAGTAGCACCCAATGTCCTGACATTATTAAATATTTCTTTCTGAGGCTGATGCTGGAGGCTACATTGACTCTTGTTGGGAACACAAGCACACACAGAACCTGTCTCCCACACCATCTGTGGTTCATCTCACCTATTGTACCAGTGACTTTGCATGTTTCTCTCTGGCCGAGCCCGATTATTTCAGCATCAGGTAAGGGGAGAGAGGCAGCAGTACCCAACTGATGGCACAGAGAGAGGAGACACACAGGGAAGCCTGTGAGTTCAGCAGCTGTAAGTGACTCCGCCTTTTGATCTCAGAGTCTGCAAACGGAGAGAAAAAAAGGTCAGGGTCACAGGGGAAAAGCTAGATGTCATCTTCACATGGCTGGTTAGTAGAGAAAAAGTACCTGAAAAACAGAACAAGTTTCCCAAATACAGGCAATTTTGTACCCCATTCATCACCTTCCTGTAACTAGTTTAAAAGCAAAGCTTCCTCTTTCCTCAAAGGAAGTTCCATTCTCTGGTCCATTCCAGTGAGCATTCAGCCAAATGAAAAATTAGGCCAATAAAATGATGATTATTGGTTACCAAATAAAAAAATAGGTTAAACAAACAGCCATGGCCAGTCTTGGATTTGGACACATTTTTCCTCTAGGCAGTACAACCTTTTTAGATTTTGTCATTAACTTTTATTACATCACTAAAAGTGATGAGAAAGTATTGCTCTCATTTTGTAGAGAAAGGTAGAAGGGAAGAAGTGAAATTACTCTTCTTTTGCTCTATTTTCTTCTTAGAAAATCTCATTTTATTCATTTCAGCTCTGACACTTGCTGTATAACTTTAGGCACCTTACTCAATCTATATGTGCCTCAGTTTTTCAATCTACAAAGAAGGAAATAATATGTACATAATAATAATAACCCACTTCATAGGGTTCTTACAGAGATTAATACATAAATACAGATAAAGCACTTAGAATAGTGCCTGGCACATAGTAAGTACTCAATAAGTATCAGTGATACAGTAGCTGTAACAATAATACTCTAGCCTATAAGCATTACTTCCCTTCAGTCATTTCAAAGTCAATTTCTTTAGCTCAAATTCTATCCTGAATTCTACATCTGGATTTGCAGTTGCTACTGGGCATCTCATTTAAATAATTATTTAGTAAATATTTTTGAGTGCCTACTGATATGATCCAAAGGAGTACAGTAAAACCTTACTTCCCCAGCTGAGTTCTGAATCAGTTAAGGAATAAGACAAAAGAAGAAGGCAGGGGAAGACCAGAATATCATCTTTAATGTTTTAAGTCTGATAATAAAGGATGACGTTTTATATGCAGGCATGTGGGCAACAACAGGTGTAGTCACAGGCAGCACCAAGCTGGGATAGCTTCCCTCTGCCGGGGCAATTTCTATCCCTGAAAAACTAATAGCTGGGAGGACCAAATAGAATGTATACTTCTTGAGGGCAGCTGAAGAGGAAGGGAAAAGAAGGAACCAAGCTCTGTATGTCCAGCTTCTCCTAATAACTCACCAACTAGATAAATGAATTTATTCTCCTAGGGAGTAGTGAAAAATAGGGAAGAGAGAGGCTGTTTTTATTGTTTGGTGCCATTGAGTGGGCTTTTGACTCATAGCTACCCTGTGCACAACAGAACAAAACACTGCCGGTCCAGCGCCATCCTCACTATACTTGCTATGCTGGAGCCAATCATTACAGCGACTGTGTCAGTCTGTCTCATTGAGGGTCTTCTCCATTTTCGCTGACCCTCCACTTTACAAAGTGTGATATCCTTCTCCAGAGACTGGTCCTTTCTGACAACATGACCAAAACAGGTGAGAGGAAGTCTGGCCATTCTCACTTCTAAGGAGCATTCCATATGCACTTCTTCGAGGCAGATCTGTTCGTTCTTCTGACAGTCCATGATATTTTCAATATTCTTTGTGAATACCATCATTCAAAGGCACCAACCCTTCTTCAGTCTTCCTTATTCATTATGCAGCTTTCACGTGCATATGAGGCGATTGAAAATACCATGGCTTGGGTTAGGCGCATCTTAGTCTTCAAAGTGACATCTTTGCTCTTCAATATTTTAAAGAGGTCTTTTGCAGCACATTTTCCCAGTGCTCTAAGGGTTATAGACTCCCTTTCTACAGAAAAAAATACGTGGAGTAGGAATGAAGCATACTCCCCAAAATCTGTCATATGCTGGGAAATGTGGTAATCGTCAGTCAGTTCTACCTGTATACATCATGGCAACTTCAAATTCAGTATCTAAAACCTGCATCTTCTTCCCAAATATGCTACTTGCTTCTGTTTTCACTTTTGTTGGTAGTATTACCAACCTCCTAGGGAGTCTTAGTTAAAATATCAGACCATTTTTTACTTGTTCTTTCTCTTGTCCTTCACATTAGATTAATTTCTTAAAGTAACTTTGAATTCTTATCTCTTTATTTTCCATTGCTCCTGCCTCAGTTAAGGCCCTCAAAATTTCTCCCCAGGACCATTGCCACAGGCTCCTAATTTCATGACTTCTATCAGAACCATTCTTCTCCTTCAAAATTCACTTTGAAATCTGCTTCGTCTACTGATCCACTGTGATCATAATTAATAACTCATTCCTCTAGACCAAAACATACACTATGACTAACCTCCCTTATGGCACTTATACTATTTATCTTAGTATCTCATGGAACTTAAAGGAATGCTTTGTATATATTTGACTCTAAAGTATATGACATTAAGGAGCTCTGGTGGTGTAGTGCCTTAGGCATTTGACTGCTAACCAGAAGGTTGGTGGTCCAAACACACCAGCCACTCCACTTAAGGAACTCAGGGCAATCTACTTCCGTAAAGATTTACTGCTTCAGAAACTCAATGGGAGTTGCTATGAGTCAGAATTGACTTGATGGCAGTGGGTTTGTTTTTTGTTTTTATATGATCATTGAATGAATGACCTATATTAATAGTATAGTCAGAGAACACAGGATATAATTCCCATGACCTAATGCAATAATTTAAAAACATGTATGGAGCACCTTCTTTACACAGGGCAAGAAAAAAATGTATTATTTTCTTAATTTTAGGCTGTGCCAAGCTACCAAAACTTATATTTAGTCTTAGTACTGAAACTTAGAACATTTGCTCTGCTTTATTGAATAAATGTATATGGAAAAAAAGATCTGCTCCTTGAATAAAAAGTGTATTCCATGTCTAGGCTTGTTCAGTTACTGCTCTTTCTATTGGAAAGTGTTGTTTATGCAGCCTTGAGGTTTTTGCTGTGATTTCAACTGAGACACTGCTGTTGACACCTGTTATTTCAAATGAACAACACTTCATTTCTTCCTCTTCTGGGAAATACCCTTTCTTTCATTAGATACTGTCTCACTGGTTTAGATTTGAACAGCTGACTCAAGCCAAAGTCTTTCCTGGGAATGTGGAATGGAACTGAAGAATTGCAGTTCAGTCTGGTTACTACTCTCTTGGGTAAGAGAGTTTTTTTTTTTTTTTTTTTTTTTAAAGTAGGAGCTCTTGGCAACCACATTCTGCCATATAGACTAAGAAGAAAAAAAAGCCATCTTGAAGCAAACCAAACCAAACTCACTGCTATTGGGTCAATTCTGACTCATAGTGACCCCATTGGGCTTCTGAGTTGGTAAATCCTTTTATTTATTTATTTTTTTTTATTTTATTAGGATTTGGGTGAAGATTTACAGAGTAAATTCACTTTTCATACAACAGTTCACATATACTTTGTCTCATGTCAT